TGGCTTCCGCTTGCTGGGTTCGCCGGCCTTCTCCTGTGGCCTGAGGCACACGGGTGAGAACCTAAGGCAAAACCGCCCATGTCTTTACAGCTCTGATAGCCTCAGGGTATTCTTTAGCTTAGTCACATTCAGCTCTTCTCTGTGATCATGCGTGTTAGTATTTGCAGCCTTGCTTGCCTCCCTCTCCCATCACACCGTAGCATAAATAGCGTATTCCTATGAAAACAACTATTTTCCCCACAACAATTTAGTGAAGAGTGGTGGTGGTTGAAGTTTTCCCAATATTTGTAAGATGCATCTTTATAGGAAACATCTTGATGTTAGCAATTCTGTATTTTTTTATAAAAATACCATTCTAATTTTTATCCTTAAAACTAAAAAGACTATACATGATATAGAAATGAGTCTATACCCAACAGTGGCCCAGGAATCATCTGTTCATTCTTCTTTTGTCTGGACACCCAAAAAGATAGTGTTGTCTGCTGTGATTGTGGTTGCTTGTTGCCTCACATTGTTTTTATCCATGTATTCACCAGAGTCTGCTTTTCCTTGCACGAAAATTCTAGACCCCGTCTTCACATCCTGATATAAGACCCGGCCGAAACACTGATGTTCGGTGCCATGTTGTCTTTGGACTGACATCAACCATCTGGCACGTTTCATTGTCACCTGATGGCCACATCTCATCTGTTGCTAGAGAAAATATGGTGACTGGATGTCTTAGTTACTCTTCTCTCCTTGCTGGGACAAATACCCGACACTCAAAATGAAGGAAGGAAAGGTTTATTTAGCTCACAGTTACTGGAGTTTCTGTCCATATTCAGCTGGGTCCAGGTAGAGCGGCACATGGCAGAGATCAACCTTTCATGGCAGTGGCAAAGAGCAAGAGCACAAGGGAGGGGTAGCAGCAGCTCAAGCAGCTGGCTTCTCTTCCCACTTTGTATTATAATGCAAACTACCTGCCCCAGGGCAGGGGCCGCATCCACACCCACAGTAATCAATCACAAACTGCAGAAGCCGCCCCAAGACTGCATGAGGCTTTGGAGGGACAACTATAGAGAAACCATAACACTGGATTCTTTCCTTCCACCTGTCTCATGACAGGGTTGTGACCCACTCGCCCAAGCAACTGCACGCAATTCAGTGATCTTTCAAGAACTAAACTTCTGGCCACTTCAGACTCATATCTTACAAACTGTCAAAGCACCTATAGCACAGGTCTTTGAGAAAGCATAGCTTCTGTTTCCTTTTTTTTACAGTCTAATCTTTGGCTTCTTCCGCTTGTGCGGCTCCTTCTTCCCTTCTTCCTCTGACGCGCCAGTCTGTACCACCTCCAGCCAGCAGCAGTGCCATATTGAGTCTGGTCAGATTCATTTTTCGCTCTTAAGAGAGGACAGGTCTAGTCTCACACCTCGGTGTAGTAGAAAAGGGATAGAAAATTTGAATGGTGGTTTCAGACGACAGTGGCTGTTCTATTTCGATAGCATGTCAAAATGTGATCATTGGCAGTTCTCAAAGATTGATGGCTATGTGGGCTCTGAAACCTTATGATGAATGTTTTGTTTTCATACAGTGAAAAACATTAGGCTGTAGTAACACTTGGAATGGTTATTGTACTGTTCAGAGTATAATTATGAAAAAGGTTATAAATTTGGTTAATTTTTTTCCATTCAGAAAATTGCCCAGATTCTTTGGGGAAATAAAGAGGCTGTTCTGAATATCATTCATTCAAATGACCCGGATATGAAAGGAGGGGTCTGCACTGCCTACACCCACTGTCCCATGGTTAGTCACTCAGTTTGGTACCGTTCTCATCTAACGAAGGTACCTTACCAGAGCTCAGTGTGGTGAGCTTGCCCAGCCTGTCTTGTGTGTTACTTGTCTTTAAAAAAAAAATTACACTGAGCCATCAGGCGGCTTTAGTGGTCTTTGTTCCTCTCCTCGTTGATGTGCTGCATTCACAGACTGGAATTGGGTTAGCATCAGAGCCAGGTTGGTTGAAAAAATACAAAGGTTATTAACTTCTTAGCTCCAGGGCAGGAGATAATTGAATGGCGGCAAGGAAAAGATCCTTCTCTTCTGCCATGTGTGTGGCACCGCACTCAACAACCGGCTAGGAGCATTAATACTAATTCTTGAAAGTTTAATATGTAATGAGCAATAAAATATTATGGGATTTAAAAATACAACCGGAATCATTAGCAGTATTGGGTTCAGATTTGTTCTGTTGCTTTTGTGACATTAATCCTGTGAGATTAGTCTGGCAGTCGCTGTCTTCTCGTACGCTAGACTATAGCCAGCGAGCTTGAGCACAGTAAATATGCAGACAAAATCAAGTGGGAGGGATGGGCCATGCTGACAGTAGTTACCGCTAGGTAGCCAACTTCCGCTTTCTTTGAGCTATGCAAACATTAATTATAAAAATTTGTACTGAATGTATATCAAGCATTGTATTGAGTCTGGGGTGTAGAACAGAGAAAAAGGCCTCATCTAATTGGATCCTCCCAATGGTCAGTTTGAGTATTTCCTAGTAGTGCAAAATATCTCTCTAATATGACAAATATAGTAAACATTATAAACCAAGATGAATTGAAAAAAAATGGCCTTTTGTTGTTTTCCCAACAAATACAATTTGGAGGCTGTTCCATGACGCAGGTACCTAAATATCACCCAGTTTCTTCAGTGAACGTTTCTCCAAAGGAATTGAAGCCTTTATGCTGGAAAGAAAATATGTAGCAGCCATTTTCCTGGGCCCTGTTTCCAGGGGTGTTAGAGTTGTAGTAATTCTCCATCCACAGGATCTAAACCATGGCCAGGACCCACAAAAGGCTGTGTTCCTGAACGGACCCTCTACTCTTGCTGCTAGTTAGGGTTTGTGGCTCACCTAGGAAGTAGATCAAAGCAAATGGCAGGCAGGTTTGGAAACTGGCTTGTGTCATGGTGTCCCGAGTAACTTGGACCTTGGAAAACACATGTGTTGGCAGCTCATATGGAAACTTCTGGAAATAAACTTGAAAGTAAATGATGAAAGAAAAGGACTTTGCTTTCTCTTTGTGGATCTTTATTAACTACTGAAAGATAAAAGAAGTAGTATAGATTAGAGTTTATGTTTGGTTTTGAGTAGGAACCTAGGAGAAAGGGGGGGTATCATGCGCATGGTATCATGAATCATTGGTACAGCTGCCCTCCTTTCTGTTTTTATAAATACGTACTTTAAAGGTTTGATTCAGAAATCTGTGCCTGTGTAGGATGTGTTGGTACCTTAAGTATGGTCGAGTGTGAGGTGCTGTTTTTTGTGAGAGAAATGCTATGACTACTAATAAAGTGGCCAGTTGTTAATTGGCCAGTAGTACAGAATAAAGTATCTAGAACCCACAACTGGTTATTTTACACCCACTCTTACATAAAACTGATTTCTTGAACCAACATCCCTGGAAATTTTGTTCTCAAGAACTGACAGAACTTAGAGAAAACTAAAGTCAAGTGAAGACTGAGAAGGTGCTGGAGAGGCAGCACGTTGGATGGACAGCCTAGAGCAACTAAAGGAGACCAGAGAGACAAAACTAGAGTTCATTAATTTAAATTGGAAAAGGCTGACAGGATAGCAATCCGAATCTTTAGGCTCTGCACAGTATAAACTGAATGCGGCCACAACAATGAGAGGCCTCTTGAAGGCTGAGAGAGCTTTTGCAGGCACCTAGTCAAAACACTGTTTCTGCCAGGTAGTGAAACTGAGGGACCCAAGAGCTCAGTGGGGACAGCAGAACCCATGCAGGGCGGGACTGAAAGGCTGCTTGTGACTTCTTTAGAAGAAGCAAGGAGGAGAGAGCTATGATGGTGTACGTTTTGGGGGGTTGCTTACCTGATGCTTCACCACCTAGAAAAGAGGGTGTGGAGAAGAAGAGCTAAGACAGCAGAGTAAGAAAAGGAAACGAAAGCCGAGCGTCCATGTTTATAAACAGATGCTCACGGGGCTGCCACCGAAACGTAATGGTGGTGGCCTGAAACCAATGAAGCTTTAGCTCTTTTCTTCATGTTGTTAATGCATCATAGGAAGGGTTCTTAAAGAACTTATGTATTTTATAAATCAGAAAAATGTTATTTTCATACTTACATTAAAAATAAATAGAAAATATAAAATGACAATAAAGTCAGAAATTTCTAGGCTTTGTAGCTCTATAACAAATATAGAGATAAAATATTGAAGTATTTTGCATGCCTGTGTAGGGGAGGGCAGCCTGCCCACTGTGCCGCCCATGCCAGGGCTAGGATAGCTTCCCTGTGGACTTCTGGTTGACCTCATTGTGCCTGTTTGCGTTGTTTCATACATAGCTCCAAAATGCACTGCTAGGCAAGGTGACTCATTTTGCACCCTGCTCAGCATGGCCGCTTGCCTCTATACCTGCCTCCTCTGCAAACTGCTCTTCCCAGCTGCCACACTTTTAAAATCGAAGTCAAAACTTGTCCTACAATCATCCAGTGGTTCATCATCTCATTAAAAAAAGAAAGAAGGGAGGGAGGGAGGGAAGGAAGAACGAACGGGAATTCTCACAGAGCACTGCAAAGCCTTACCTGCAGCCCTCTCGCTCCAGCCTCCTGGTGCTGTCCCATACTCCCCCCAAGTCACAGGTCTGGCTGCTTCCCTCTCCCAGCTATCTGCCCAGCTTCCGCCTTCGACTTCCTCTAGGGCTGTGTGCAGGGGCCTCACCGCCCAGTGGGTGGTCCCCGACTTTGCTTCCTAAACTTTTACCCACCGCCTCCCTTCCTGTTCACTTTATCAATGGTCTTTGCTCTTACTGGCCCCTGACATGCATGCTTATTTGTTTTTTATGCCTAGCGGCCTCTACCAAAGTGTCATCTCCACAGGCGATCACAGGAGGCAGGCTGATCTCGGTCAACACTGCCTGCCGCTGCTGAGCCCTCTGGGTGGACACCTGACGCTGTCAGCGCGAACTCCCGACTCGTTTCTCATTTCGTGCTCTGATGTTTTTGCCTCGCAGAGAAGTTGTTACCTTCAACCATTTCCTGGAAGCAGCGGCTGAGAAGGAGGTGCAAGGTAAAGCTCGGCTCCAGGACTTCATTGAGAATCTGCTGCAACGGGTAGAACTGGCGGAAAAGCAGCTCGAGTACTATCAGAGCCAGCAGGCCTCTGGCTTCAGCCAGGAGGTCAGCGAGCACGTGGTGAGTCACAGGGCTTCACGTGGGATGGGGCGAGGGCGGGGCCGGGGGCTGGGCTGGGCTGGGGTGGGGGCAGGGCTCTGTAGTCCCTGAGACAGATGTGCCCGCTGCACAGATGTGCTCCCCAGTTTGATCCCTTTCTCTTCCCTGTGGGAAACGGTGAATGTCCAGTCTTTACTAGCTCTAGCCAGAGGGACACAGCCACCTCCTGCCTTCTTCCTCCACCTTCTTCTCCCTCAAGAGAGCCGTGGCTTGAGGTCACAGCGTCCAGATGTGAAGTAGAAAGCCTGGCCTCTGGAACATGCTTACCTGGGTTCTCACTTGGCAAGACAGTGTATCTTCTGGTGTCTGTGATTCCCCTGGAAGATGGAGGGATTGAATTCAGGGCTAAATTCTGATCATCCTGACTTTGATGGTTGGGAGTTAAGTATTGGAAGAGCTGGGTGCAGTTGGTCCTTCCCAGCACTCTGGAAGCTGAGGCAAGAGGATCTCTGAGAGTTCGAGGTAGTCTGGGCCACATAGTGAGTGCAAGACCAGCCTGAACTGCATAGTGAGATCTTGTTAAAAAAAATAAAATAAAATAAAATTCTGGAGATTGAACCCAGAAGTACTCTACCACTGAGCTACATCCCTAGCCCTCCTCATTTTTTATTTAACCCTTAACTTACGACCCTTCTCTCTCAGCCTCCTAAGTAGCTAGGATTATTATGATTGAGAATGCAAAAACTGAAATGATGTATAGCATTCATGTTTTTGTATTTAGGCTAATAAGTCACCCAAAGCTAAGAAATGTATGAAATCCTCCTATACTAAACCAAGAAGAATCTTAAAGACAGAAGAGAAGAGGAGGAAGAAAAGTCATTGGTTCTTTCTTTTTATAGCTTTCTCATATGTATATTCATTTCCCCTGTTTAATCCATTTTTGCAGTTTGAAAATTGAATACCTTTTGAGGTACATAGCAAGAGATTTCTCTTACGCTATGTCATGCCACCAAAAGTTAAGTAGCATTTCAGCTCTTTGTCAGATGTGTATGTACAAAACTTTGTGTGCATATACAACATTCATATACTTGTACACGTATATGCCCATATGAATGTCATATAAATATGTTCTGATGTGGGGAGGAATAAGTAAATATTTTTTTTTCTTTTCAAAGTTTTTTTTTTCCATTGTGATAAACTATGCTTTTTAATTGATTATTAATACATGGTTTTTTAAGGTACTTATTGATTCAGTTGAACTTAAATCTATCATGTCACTGTTTTTTTTTTCTTTTCAAAGTTTTATTGATAAAC